AAATCACACGCTTGTAACGTGCTCGCTGCACACCATAGCACACCTGCACGCCAGATATGTGGGTTCCTTCATCCGCTGACCTTTATTCTGAGCTGGATCATCGCAGACCTTTAGAGACTAAAGATTGAAGCGCGTTGCTCAGTGACCTTTTAATTAGTCCAGGGATAAATTCTAAGAGTTTATGCCGTTGAAGTCGGGCAAATGTTAGAGACAGCTGTTGAGTAAACATACATGTTCCATAAGCGTCAGGATTACCCCTCAATGATCATCAAAAAACAACAACTAAGAGAGTTCCGAGGTCACTGGCCGTGTTTTGCAGTGAAAGAGGAACTCGAAACAAATAAAAAAGGTTAATCAAATAGATAACTTTCTCAGAAAAAGCTCAGCTCAAATCTTGAGAAATGCCACAGAACTATCGAAAAATCAAAAAGCAACTTCTAGACGAGATTTAAACATGAGCGCTGTAGGGTATGGCTCAGAAGTCGTCAAGCCGAAAGAGCGAAATGTCCCTGATGGCGTAGGGGATAGCCGACTGCTCGGGAGACGGGAGGTGCGGGTTCGAATCCCTCCTGTGGTCAAAATTTCTCTGTATAAGTCAGCATTCTTGTGATTTCGGTAGACTATGACGTTTAGCTTCAGCTATCATAAGAACACGAAACTTTAACAAGTGAGAGGGGAGGGGAAGAATCACTGGGAAGACTGAAACACTGATCAAATTTGCCTTGGCTTATTCGACATCACAGGTGGTGATCAAAACATGGGATGAGCAGGTATAGCCCAGTGGTCAGGAGCGCTGCTCATGCCTCTCCAAAGAGTCACGAGACCGGTTCCTGGCGGAATAAAAACGATGTCCTGCGAACACTGAGAAAAAGGGCATCAATACCAGCGTCAGGCTTATGTAAACATCCCACCTGAACCCATCACAAAAGGGCACAAGACGGCTGAGGAGGTGAGGTGGAGGGGGGGGGGGCAATTAATGGACTCATCCTGGGATCACCGCACGGAGATATTTGTGTAAGGATGGATAGAGAAATGGGAATAAAGAACGAAAAGGTTGGCCAAAGGCCACGTGGTCCGTTTCGCCTCCTTCACAGACAAGCAATTTTGAGAACTAATGCTTCTGAGGCTTTTCAGTGGGTTCGGCGCAAGGTAAGCCTGACTAAAGGAACTTGGGATGGGCAACTGTTCTCTTTGTGCAGGAGTTTCCCACCACGGGAGTCCCAGTTTGCGCAAGGATCCCTTCAAACAATCCCCTCCTCCCCCTCCACCGCTTAGTCGGTTTGCACCCACACACAACGAAAATGATTACAAGCAG